CGTGTCCATTTGGATTGATGTGTAAGAAGTGATACATTCGTCAAACATGGCATACCTGCGATGAAGGTTTGGGAGCACACCAGTAACAATAGTAGGATGGAATTCCACTCAGATTATCCGAGCCATTCGGTTTTACTGCTTTTGTCGAGCAGTCTGCAGCCTTTGTCCTAATGACTTCTACTTAGTTCCCATAAATCCTTTCTTTAACAGAGCATTCAGCTTGGCGCTGTCGAATGCTTTTTTTTTTTTTTAAATCGACAGATTTTATATGCGAAGAGAGCGGCGAAATTTCTTACGCGCCTGAGCAGTTGAACTGAGGTCCAAATGCGACCCGTTACGTCGGAATCCAGCTTGCTGGATGCCACCTGGAATTGCAATTTACAATGACTGTTACGAGTGGCCAACAGTGAAATTCGTTAGTTCGTTACAAACACTGTAAACAGTTTGCGATTCCAGACGGCATCCCTTGATCGCAAAGCCCCTCTGACTTGTTCACAGATGCTTCTAGCTGACGGAATTGGAACTGGCGGCCAGGACTGTCAGAAAATATTTCCATGAAACTTCATCTTTCTTGCTTTCCTCGTTCTTGAATTTGCACCTTACCGGCAAAAAACTTCCCCGGGCCCGTACGTGGATATCGCGTGAATAAAAAATGTCCATTTTGGGGGTAGGGCCCGTACATGTGCGTGGATTAAATTGCCAAAGTTTCAGCCTTTTAGCTTTTCTGGGTCTCGAGATGAAAAATCGGTACGGACCCACACAGGCATACACACACGCTCATACGCGCTCAGATAACCCCTCAGCAGTACGTGTTTTTGCATTGCATAGTTGCAAGAAACGCGTAATTAGAGAAAAGCGAATGAAATTTTGTTCACTGGTGAAGGTTGTACCTTCTGCCAGCTGCTTTTACTAAGGAATTTTTGATCATTGGTAAATGCGATTGGCAGACGATAAAACCTTTACACGGTCTTCGGGCAAAAACGCTGCAAAATTCGTCCATGTTTTAACCTTGTCTTTCGTCACATCACGACACGACTCGTCTTTCATTACGGCGCTCGAGAGTGCTAATTTTACAATCAAATCTGAAACTGCTTTCGAAACTCGCTAATTTCAGAAAGCATCATTTCGTTATGTCTCTGTGAAAGCTAAATTCGAAAGGGAGTTCCATCGACAACCATAACAACGGGCTGTTTCTGATGGCAAAATGCACTTTAGCTGACTTGGTTTCGAGTGCCTTCATATTTTCAGAGAGCAAAGTGCCGGAGAGTTTTGATCTTATTTTTAAAAGATATTTAAAACATTGTTTTTAGTCAGTAGCAGCGACGTATGAGACATTCTGCAACATAATGCTGGTGAAGAAGACACCATCGGCAATGGATTGGTATCCATGGATGGTTGGATGTGATGCACTTTGTTTGATTCTCATCTCTTTTTTTTATTCCATGATGGGACAGGGAGGCTCGGGCAACGTATTGCTCGACGTACAGGCAAGGAACTTTCATTTGCATCAGCAGCCTATTTATATTCTGCTAATTGTCAGTAGCTTCTTACGAAATTGTTTTA